CAGGGAATCCAGTATAGGCAAGTCGAATATTTGACCCTTTTCAAACATTCGACCTGTGCTGTGAATATTCGACTCGTGCTGTTAATATTCAACTTCTGGTATTCGATTCGACAGCTATTCAACCAGCTGCTATTCAACTCTACTTTCACTTTTCAAGGTCGAATATGTCCACTATTTGTCGAATCGAATATTAAGTTGAAGCTTTGCACAGCCCTACTAGTTATACTGGTTTCTGCTTAATTTTAAACTAAACAATGTGGTGCAACTCCAAAGCATATTACTAAATCTTCTAGTTTCCCTTTAAATGGGGAAAGGCATGTGTTGCAGATAGATGTGATGTGCCATACTAATACACCTCCCTTTTACAAATCCTAGATCCACCTATGGAACCACATGCAGTAGAATGTGAGAGGGGCCAAGATATGACTCCTGTTTGCTGAACTGGAGTCTGACCTGACCAATCTGACAGTTCTAGTCAGTGCTGGTATATGTGTGGCACCCTGCAGCTATGTCTTGGGAAGCACTCAAATGAAGATTTTCAACACACCAATGTCAAGTGCTTCTGAAAAACTCCTCCTATAATGAACTATAAAGAACCTCAGGACCTGCCAGGTAGAGAATGGCTGCTTTGATGTACCAGCTAAGTGGTCACAAGCCACCTTTGCAAATAATATGAATGATCAAATGCCTCCCACCTCTGACATTATGTCAGTACAAATTCATGGCAACAGCATATGGGGTCACACTCTGAAGGTTCTAAGCAGTCAGAAAAGCTAAAGATCTAGATCAGGGGTCAGCAACCCCCAGTATGCATGCCAAGCATGGCATGTGAGGCCATTTTCCTTGGTACGCATTGGGGCCGGGGAGACAGCAGCTGTTTGCAACCTCCCAGCTGCATTCAGCCCCAGCTCTGGGTAGCTGCTGCCAGCCAGGAGACCGGACTGCTCCCAGCAGGCAGCTGGGAGGATGGAAGCCCTAATCCAAGCAGCCTGGGCTCCGTGGTTATGAGCAGCTATGCAGAACCTGGGCCAGCTGCAAACATCTGCTGCCCCTCCACCCCGGCAATGGCCCCAGCTGCCTGAGCGGGGGCAGCAGCGAGGGGCACAACCCTGCATGCTGCCCAGACTGCTCCCATGCACACAGAGGAAGTGTGACCTGGGCAGCACGGAGCTTGTAGTAGCAGGCAGCTTCCCTGTGCGGCCCCTCTGTTTGCTGCTGCTTCGGGTCACACACTCTGCACTCTGGATGGCCCAAGGAAGGGCAGCAGGATTGGGAGCACAGCATGTGCAACCCAGAGCAGCAGCACACAGAGGGGCCACACAGGGAAGCTGCTGTGAGCCCCGTGCTGCCCTGGTCACACTTCCCTTGTGTGCACAGAAGTAATGTGGGCAGCACGCAGGGTTGTGCCTCTTGCTGCTGCCCCTGCCTGCAGGGGAAATGTGGCCAGGGCAACGGGGACCTCAGAGCGGCAGGCAGCTTTCTGCACCCCCTGCTGTGCTGGGTTCCAAAGCTGCTTTGCAGAAGTGGCAATGATGGCAGCACTGCAGGGAGCACTGTTGGTACCTACTGCCTCTCCGGAGCCCAGGGCCGGGTCTGGGGCTGGGAGAGCTGGGGCCAGGAGGCAGCACATGTTTGCAGCTGGCCCAGGTTCCGAGTAGCTGCTGATAGCAACAGAGCCCAGGCTGAGGGACAGGGGTAGCAGGGCTGGGAGGCAGGGGCATGGAGCAAGGGCTTTAGGTGGGGGGCAAGGGGCACAAGCAGAGCATCCTGCCATGTACCCCCTGCCCTCATTTTGCTTTTCTGGCATGCCGGCACTCCAGCACCTTCCAAGGTAAGCATTGTGAGCTTTTTCGGCACTCCAGACAAAAAACATTGCCTACCTCTGATCTAGATGAAAGTCAGGAGGTACACCAAGAGCCTTTCCATGGAGTGAGAAGTGTCTCCTCTGCTAGCCATGAAAACACACTATATATTGCGAAGGAGCAAACAAAGACCCTATGAAACAACATCCAAAGGACTAGCATGGTGCTGCATTTAAGCTGTAGATTGCTCTTCCCATCCACGTGACAAATATGACACTGGAAATCAAGTATCCAACTCACGTGATCAAGCACTTGGCTCTTGGCGGTATGGTACTTTTGTGCAATTGCATCTGCCACAGCATTTGTCCCCATGAACAGCGTGTTCCAGTTATGAGTGCTGGAGAGAGAAGACAGGTCCAGTTCATAAGACCACTCACATGTTTCTCATCTAGTGATTCCCTCTGAATAGCCCAGAGCAAACATCCTTTGCAACTTTATGGTGGCAGTGAGGGTAACAAACCAAAATGGAGGAAAGGAAGAGGATAAACTGAGGAGAAAAACAGCAGAGAAGTGGAGTAACTAGGTTATATGCAGTGGGACAGAGATACAAGGGATGCATTTCAATCAGGTTGAATATTCTACACTTCCTCTCTTGAAAGTTTACCTGCTGTCACCTCATCACAGCTTGGCAGGCAGTCGCAGCTTCTATTGCTACTGCTGGGGAGTCAGGATATAGATCAATCCAATACAGCAGCTCATAGAAGCCAAAGTGCATTCAAGTTTTTTCTTGGGGGGGGTGGGGAGTGACTGGAAATGGAACACTAGGACCATGATGCAGGAGACATATCACACAGCAGTAACATTTAGCTGCCACTAGTCTTGGATACAGTTCCCCCCCGCAGGAAAAAAAATCCACGTGCAATTTCATTTCTGGCCACAACAGACAATGTTGTAATTAATGCCATATTAAAAACAAGGTTCCAGCTATCTAATGTCACCTCCCTCCCTACCTGCCACTGCTTGCTTTGTCCTTGGAGTCTTTCTGCTTCTTGTATGAAGAGGATCCTGCAGCACTTGTGTTCTCCACTTCTTTCTTTAGGGTAGATGGTAACACATGCAGCATTCTACCCTAGGGAATGGAAAATACATAAGGTCTACCATTACTGCTTGGATATCTATGAAAGGAAGAAACCCAGTTAAGATGAATCTGAGTGCATCAGGGCAAGAGTGTCACGCAATGTCATTCCACAACAGCCTTTCAACTTGAGGCGGAAAGCCCTTGTTCCACCCTCCCTTCTCTTGCTTGGCATTAAAGTGACTCTAAGCAGCACCCACAGAATTTGAAAAACCAGGGGCTCAGACTTCTTTTGCTCCGATAACAGAGCAGCTCCCTGCAGGATTCCCAGCCTCCATTAGGCCGGGGGGGGGAGGTGGTGTTAAACCCACTGGGCCACATAAACTGCTGCTGCTATATCACCGACTTAAGCTTTCCCAGGTGGAAAAACAGAATGGCACTATATTACTTAAGGCAGTGGAAGGGAGGAACCAAGCATCCTACTTAGCAGAGTACCTCCTCAAGAGTTTGCCCATCTGGTTTACAACACTGTGACAAAACAACCCTGAGTTGCATCCAGTGATGCAAGCTAGTGAAAGGAACTGTACCTGGAACACCTGCCCATCCACTTCTGCAAAGGCTTTCACTGCATGCTCAGGGATCATGTATGTGATGAAGGCAAATCCCTTGGGTTTCTTAGTCAGGCTGTCTATAGGGAAGTGAATCTCTGACACAGGACCTGCAATAAAAAGGCAAGACCTCTCTCTGTGACATGCCACTGCTCAGAAATCACACCGACTTTGCAGAAGAGAGATCTGTGCTGGCATCCTCCATACAAAGCCAATGGATGAAGGGAAGTGTGAGTACCAGAGCAGCAAGTGCAAAACGACATGCACGCAGGGCAATCCTGGCTTTGCTAAAGAACAACAACCATGCACACAGCAGTTCCAACCAACTGAGTTGGTTCTTTACCATATTTGGAAAATAGTTTCTCCAAGTCCTCCTCAGTTGCAGAATAGGGAAGGTTCCTCACAAAAAGCCGCCCAGACTCAGACAGGTCCTCCTCTTCCTCATCATCCTTCTTCCTCCTCTGCCAGGGTTGCTCTTCCTTCTTCTGTGCAAATTTCATCTTTGGTACCCGCTCCTCTCTGGACACCTCAATATAGCGCCCACCTGTCATAGACACCAGAGAGATGTCTTAAATCTCAGGCACCTCCCAAAGGCTGTGGTGAACTCCGAGTCCCAAAGCAATCAAAACAGGTTTCCTTCCCTATCACAATGCAGAATGGGCTTATGCTGCTGGCATGAACTGAAGACACTCCACTGACTAACTGAAACTGCACTACATCCCCTAGCGTAAATTTTGCCAACTCCACTCCCATAAAAAGAATTTTAGGGTCCTGGCATACCTTACATTTATTACATGATTAACAAGTTAACTGCACAATAAATTACAACATGCCATTCATACAGCCAATTTATGGCATGAAAAAATGGCAAACCAGCAACAAAGATGTTCAGCATTACTCTTTGTGACTGGTTTGTATCATGGATTAAACTGCATGTGTGGCACATGATACAACCGCACTATGCCTGATTCCTGGGATCAGGCAGAGGGCAGCCCTGAATCCTGCTTCAGTCCCAATAATCATGCAATTGGGATTTGAGGAATTATGCCCAATCTCCCCGCCCGTCCCGCTGCCGCCAAAAAAGTCACATTTTGCCTTGTCACGCCAGGCATGCATGATTTTTGGGATCAGGCATAGGTAGCTTAGACATGGCTAAAACATTGCATCTCAGTACTGTCAATCAGATACCACAGTGTGCAGGGTCTCACATGACTCATTTTCTGTTTCTAAGCCAAAAGGACTGAAGTTTTGGAAAATATCTAGGGTGAATCTCTGTGTCATGGTTCGCAGCTATTGGCCCAGGTATCCCATGATTGCTGCTGCACTCTCCCGGCCCAGTGATTCTCTTATAAGGAAGTTTAGGGCTGGTTACAGGAGATAACTAGCTGGGCAGCCCTTAGGCTTGGAGACCTCTACACAGCTACAGAAACAAGTGCAGTGCATGCAGTTGTATAAGTGAACAAGAGTTCACTTATAACAATGCACCAACATGCAGAGGGAAAGACTTTAGAAGAAGAAAGCAAGTCCCCAAATCCAGCTGATCTTGGATGTCTCTGTTCAGACTGTTAAATCAGGCCTAGCTGCAAGAGTGCTTTTTGGCATGCGTGGTCATCAGTCCATTTATCAGCAGATTAAAGCCCACCAATTTGTTTCACTAACAGCTAGCAGGTGACAGCTCCCCTCCAATTCCAACCCAGATCAGATTCAAACTGCCTAGGCACAGTCAGAAAGCTTATTCCTGAGACCCCTGTAACCCGCTCCCCCCACCCTGACTAACAGGTTAGTTTAGTAGTTCATTCTTTGGATTACCTTGAAATCAGCAGGCTGAGGACTCTAAGGTATCTCTGCTCTGTACCTTTAGCCTGTGAGTATGAGCATCATCTCCTACTAGAACAGAATCAAGCATGCCTTTCCTACCACTTTACCAGCAAAGGGGGTCAATTCAGCATTACAGCACCTATTATGTGTGGTAGTAATAAGCAACAAACAAGCCTCACCCATGTATTCATTGTTCTGTTTCAAGGCCTTCTGTACTTCTTCCTCCCTGGTGAAGTCAACAAAGACATAACCTGGGTGGGGGAGGAAAAGAGGTCCAACTGAAGAATACGTGGGGTATGCAAATTCCTTAGGCATCAACATTAACTACATTAATTAGCTAACTAAGAGCAAGTCAGGTTTTTCTTTATAGATTCCCATGTATAGCTTTTATTCACCATTAAAAATGTACTCTGGCCTAAAAATTATACTTGCTTTCAGACAGAAGGGGCTGCTTTCTTAAAAGGGGTGACTTTTAAAGACCTCTTCTGTTTTTGCATGTACAAGTATATGGCCATAAATGAGTTTGGAAGCCAGTCCCCAGTGTACTCTCTACACTTTTTAAATGTCTCAATGAGCCTTTGAAAGAATAAGGGTGGCACGTGAAAGGAAAACACTGCAGAGCAGAAATTCACTGTCTTCCTGAAACTCACTCTGGTTTTCTGCTGTTCACACACACCATTCTCAGTAACCAGCTAGGGTTCCTAGTGTAAATAAGGTGAAGCTGAGGTCTGCACCTCAAGGAAAAAAAGCCTCTAACTGGAATATGACCAATTATTCTACAGAGCAGAGGCATGAAACTGGTTTGGCCCCTCTGCTGTGTCCAGACCAAGCTGGATCTACCTCTGGCAACAGAATGAGCAGGGTAAGGAAGCCACACAGGGTTAACAGAGCCATTGCTCACCTCTTCCTCAAACACCCAGCTCCTCCACTAGCCCTATGAGCTAGATGACACAGCTCCACAGGCCACATCTGGCCTGTGGGCCATGTTAGACACGCCTGCTATAGAGGACCACAAGAGAAGCTAGTTCATTCTCCCATTTGGCTCTCCAAAGCTTGCAGCTATAAGGAAGTGACACAATCCCAGCTGGAAAAGCACCTGCAACCATCTATGATGTGGCACTAGCTTTATAGCATCATTCCTCACAAGGGTATGGACACGCACACATTTGGAGCTATTTAAAAAAAATGGGTGGAGTTGGCAGCTGTTGTGTTCTTATGGTTCAGACTTATTCAACCATAAGTGATATGGATGTAGCAAAACCTCTTCAACTTTAAACCTGGATGAAGCAGTGTTGAAAGTTGGAGCAGTTTTACTGCATCTGTAGTGTTTCTGGCTTGTCCACACAGTAATTAGACCACAACAGCTGAAGCCTTTTTGAAATGGCTCCGAACGTGTGCGTTTGTACACCAGCTCTATTCTAAGGTCACATCTATGTTACTAAGTTGTGTTTGTGTAGCTGTATCAGCTAGGAGTCAAGAAAAACACACACACACGCCCGCCCACCCACTGTAGCTGATATTGTATCTATTTGCAGAGCAGTTATGTCCAATGACTGCTCTATATCAGTTGTTCTGAACCTTTTTTAGACTCAAAGCATGCTTCAGTAGGCTCAAGGCACCCTCCATAAGTACTGTGAATTGAGTGGCACTCCATTTAAAAAAAATCATTTATTACAGTGCCTACCTCCTTACAGAGGGGCCAGGCAATGGTGCCACAGGAAATGCCAGGCAGGGACTGAGCCTCAGCCTGCACTTATCTGCTTATCTCCTCGTACCTCACAGCACCCTTCAAAGGACCTCCTCGTAGCACCATAGTTGCGAATCGCTGGTCTATATAATTTAGAGAAATGGTGCGGTGGATAACTGACAAGAAAAAACAACCCACCTTCCCCCCTGACACATCTCCACTAGGGGGCTCTATCAGCATGGCTATATAACAGCAAAGGCTCTAGTGACTGCAAGCCACAAGGCAGGGGAGCCCAAGATGCACAAGAACTGAGGCACATACTAGCAATTTGGAACTGCAAGTGTAAAGTAGAGGAGAGAGGCATACAAGAGAAACAATCCTCAGGCATTTTCCAAGCACCAAATGCAACATCTGTTACCTGTCTTATTTCCATGCTTGTTTCTTGCTATCCGGATTGCCACAGGTTTAAGTGGCAGGAAAAATTCTCTAACATTTTGCTACAAATAGAAGGAGGAAAAACAGAGCAACAACAATTTTAGTAACTGGCTTCAAGGGCTCAGCCAAATTTTTGAAAACTAGTTTTATATATGAGGAACGTGGACTTTACCAAGTGTCAAGCCAAGAGTCAGGGACTGAGCAAGTTCAAGAAACAGCAACATTCCCACACAAACCACTTTCTATTCTCCCAATTGGGATGAATACAGAAGCCCCTATGGTAGGGGTGGGCAAATCTGGCCTGCAGGTGGTGGGTCCCGTGGCCCAGGTACCGTCTGGCCATGGCACGTCCTGCTGCCCCCTGGTCACGCAGTGGGGTTGGGGCAGCTCCACAGCTGGACTGCCTTTCTATGTAGCCCATGGGGCAGGCAACTTTTTCCAGCTCCTGCCACTACCAGTTCTAACCCTATGGTAACCAGCAGGGACCCGCACTGCACAGCCCTGACCCTGTGCACCTGCACCTGCTCTGGGCTCACCCGCCCAGGCTCAGGAGCAGTGGCACAGGACAAAAGCTGTTGCTCAGCATAGGGGAAAGCGTCCCCTCCCTCTCCCATTGCCGGCAGTTCCATGTTGCTGCTGCCCAGAGCCTGTGTGGGGCTGCCCTGCGTCTCCACTACCATCACTGCCACCTCCTTCCTGGCTGCTCCATGGGCAGCGCAGACACAGGACAATCCAGTGTGGGGTCCTGCAGCAGGGAACTGCTGGCACCGGGAGGGGCTGTTTCCCCCACAGACTGAGCAACAGCTTTTGTCTCGTGCCACCACTGTCGAGCCTGGGCAGATGGGGACCAGAGCAGAGGCGGGGCATGCAGGGCTGGGGTTGTGCAGCACAGGTCCCTGCCTGTACCGTGGGACTGGGGCTGGCAGCGGTGGCAGCCAGAAAGAGCTGCCTCCCACCTGGGT